GATATTGCCCCTTTAACAATGTTAATTTTTTATTTATATAAAATATATATTTTAGTTGTTTGTACAGCTAGGTCTCCAGAAGCTTGACCAATGCAGGCTGTTTGAAATGGGCCTGTAATTGTTTACTTCCATCTGGTCACCTCCTTTGAACAAGGGGAGCACACGGACACATTTCCATATTAAAGGAATTTCACCAAAGTCCAGAGAGAGGATAAAAAGACAAGAGACGGTGTAGTAAATGCATCATCCAGCTCTGAATCCTCAGAACCTGATGACTTTGTGAAATCTAAAAATGTAAAGTTATTGTGAAACTCTGAAACCGTTACTTAAAATCATATCACCCTCAGTCTTTCATGCCTAAATTTAGGATTAAAATCATCTTGTGTGGACAAATAACAGAGCTGTCTGTTTTATTTTGGTCAAGCCTTAAAAATGTGTCAAATTTCAAGTGTTATCTGGAAATGTTAAAAATCAATGTGTTGATGCTCTGCTGCTTCCATACTGAATTTCAGTTCATTAACTGTAAAATTATAAGATATTTTTGAGTTTGTTCATGTGGTTTATTTATGTCAGCCATCTTGGATTAGTTGATAATGATAACATCCTGAATATTTCATCAGGATTTGTCTGGTGGCTCATGAGATATTTTGCTAACAGACATGCTTGCTTCTTTAATAGTTGATGGCAAAGTTTTAAACAAAGTTGTGGTGCTGCAAGTGCTTTGACTTTGTGATTAGGATGTTCCTCAACTAGTACTAGAGCAGATACATCAGTCTTAGTAAATCTGACTGAGCTGTGGCCATTTTGTTTTTTCTTCATGGTCAGTTTGCTGTGGCAGCCATCTTGAATCGAGTTGACTCCAAAAGGCTGGTCATTCAGGACATGGCTAATCCAGAAAATCAAACAACGAGGCTTCTGTTATGTTGTTGAAGACTCCTCACTTCCCATCCTGGATCTTCCTCGATTAAAAAAATAAATAAATAAAACTTGGAGATCCTGGAATTCAAGTCTAACTAAACTGCAGGTGAAGCATTATTATGTCAGCTGGCGTCAGATTCAACTCATTCCCCACACATGTGAGTCATTAGAGGTTCTGCCTGACTCACAGAGAGGAAAYTGACTGGGTATCAGGCTGGTGATATCACATCATTTTATTGTTTGGTGTAAATGGCTTCTTTCACCCTCTCTCAAACCAAACATGTTGGTCTTCAGCAGATTGTCCTTATCCTTCAGGTGTAGGTGGACAGCATGGGGGTCCTGTAGAGATGGGCTATCCTCTGTCCGAGGGTCCTGTCAGGTTTGAAAGTCATTTGGATGTTATGGTTTAGGGCTGCCACAAACGATTATTTTTATAGTCGATTAATCACCAATTATTTTTTTCGATTAGTCGACTAATCGGATCATACGTTTATTGAATATAAAACATACAGCTTATTGCGCCAGAATGCAGCTGCTGTTATATAACCGTTAGATTTTAGCTTAGAGCTGGGCGGTATGATCTCAAATTCATATCACGATATAAATTGAACCCCTTCACGGTAACTGTATATTTCGCGGTAGAAAATTATCAATGAAAGTAAAGATAATGTAATTTTTAGAGCTTTTTTTGTTGCAGAATGCTGTAATCTTAATTAAATCCAACACTTTTGCTTTAATATCTACCTGCCAAACAATGAGCTTCTGCCTGCTGAACTTATCAGCTGCTGCTCTGCTGCCCGCTCATCTTCATCATCAGAGCAGAAGTCGACTTTACATTAGCAAGATAGATTTACGACTGAACAAATGTCCATGTCTTTTTCTTTAATAATCTCTGTGGGTAACAATACATAAAAAACAAATTTTTTTCTCTGACAATTAGGTGTGAAAACTACAGTTGTTAAACCTTCGCTCTGCACGACGTGCAGCGAGAGGAGAGGGAGGGAGGAGGAAATGATCCCGCGACACGATGCAACTTTTCTACAGCGGGAGGAGGAAATTTTGATGATTTATTCTCTCTATACGTGTTTTAAAACGCTAGAATTACTTCATTACTTTTCGAACTCCTGCTCAGTTGTCTCTGCACTCACAGCCCTGTTGACACAGGGGCGATGACGTAATGACGATAGGACGGTAGAAGGTAATTTTCTACTGTAGGCCAACTTCATACCGTTTCTACGGTCTACCGCATATACCGCGCAGCCCTATTTTAGCTATATGCTAACTAAAAATAATTGTTGTGGAAGGCAAGTTCTGCCTTGCAGATATTACACAGGTTTCTCTTTCATTTACTTAAAATGATCCCACACTTTTGAGCTTTGTTGTCAGGTAGCCATGATACCAGAGCCTGTCTGTATAATGTCTTGTGACGTCCACGGCCTACCCCAGTTACCACTACTGTGCATGTGTGTCAAGGACAGAAAGGCAAATGTGGCAGTGGAAGGTGTCAAAGCAGTTTGGAGAGAAAAACAAAGTAAAGAACAAAAAAAGAAGAAAAACGACTAATCGATTATTAAATTAGTCATCGACTATTTTAATAATCGATTAGTCGTTGACTAATCGTGGCAGCCCTATTATGGTTTGAGAAGATCCTCCAAATACTCCCAGCAGCTTATCAGTGATTCCTAACCTTTTTAGTCTTGTGTGCCCCCTGTGATATTTTGCCATACCACTAGTACCCCCTCTGTCAAACGTAATGATGATTCTCCAAAACTATAATGTACAACAAATGATTATTATTTATTTAACCCCCTTGAATATTTAGTTCTCAGGCATTTTATTATTTTCAACTCAAACAAAAAGATAAATATGTTGCCTTGAAAGTGAATAAGTAATTAAATAAACCAGGTAGTGGCAGGTGCAGGAAGCAGCAGCGTCCAAAATACATCAAATACCCCAAAAGGGCAAATTCTGTGAGATTCCACGTTTTGTACTGGATTCCATTTTGTGTTGATTCTGTGATTCTGTTTGCATTTCCGCATTGCGGAAATCATAGGGTCCTACATATCTCGGTCCTATTTTTAATTTTTTTGACACACCTGGGAAATTTTTCCACGTACCCCAAGTGGTACACATACCCCTGGTTGGTAATCACTGGCTTATGTGATGACAGTGTTTTCATATTTGTACTTACTCAGCAAAAGGAACCATTTCCTTACAGATGTGACATCATTTAAAGGGAAATAAACAGGCCAAAACAAATAAATAATTGACCTAATCTTTACCTTTTGTGTGCTGTTTAGTTTTAATAAATGCTGGTTAGTATTATCTGCCTTTTAGCTTCTGTCTTCTTGTCTCTCTGCAGGTTAATGATCTGAGCCAGGTGCCTGTTCCTGTCATGCTGCTGCCTGATGATTTCAAAGCCAACACTAAGGTCAAAGTCAACAACCACCTCTTCAACAAGTGAGACACTTGTCTGTTTACGATTTAAATATGAAGTTAAAAAGTTCTAAAACAAAGAAAAAAAGTCAGAAATTTGAGATTAAAGGCAGAAATCTGAAATTAAAAGGAAAATAATTGCACCGTCGCCCTAATCCTTTTCTGCAACTTTGAAACTGGTCATTTGTTAATATTTTTGTCCTCAGTGTGTCCGTTAACCTAATTTTTAAATGACATCTTCCACTTTTAAGCTGTCACAGAGACATACAAGGACAGAAACAGATGGAAAAAGCAGCAAAAAATCCTAAAAACTTTTTAGATCTTCACAATAACTGGAAAATAAGAGTATTTTTACACTGTTCACTGTCATCATTTGTAGCCATTTTATTTGAAACAATTTTAAATAATTTGATTCACATAATAACTCTTCTTACAGATACTTTATAATTATTTTTAAGATGTGGAACAAACAGTTTTGGACCTGTCATGCCAAACTGGCTGGATAACATTTTGTAGATAAATCAACTCTGCAGCTGCAGCAGAAACCTGTCCTCCTGCAGCCTTACATGCAGAGCAGAGAAAACACAACTTAATCTGGTTTTGTTTTAACTAAACACAACAAATAATCATCCAAGGCTAAAGTCCTGAACACCAGGTCCAGCCATGCGTATGATGTACAGGCTGATGAATGTTTGCTTAGTGTGTGACAACAAAGGAAACAGAACATTGTCTTCTCTTTTGCCAGAGAAAATCTTCCAGGACACTTCAAATTCAAAGAATACTGTCCTCAGGTCTTCCGAAATTTAAGAGAACGTTTTGGTATTGAGGATTTGGACTATCAGGTGAGCTGTTCCCCTTGTCTACATTATAATAATCAAATCAGATATTCTGTACTAATTTAGAGTCGTGCTTGTTTGGTCTTATTATCCCACAGGTGTCGTTGACACGCAGCCCCCCGATGAGGAATGCTGACAATCAGGGAGAGGTTCTGCTCCTCAACTCCTACGACCGGACGCTGGTTATAAAGCAGATCTCCAGTGAAGACGTTGCAGACATGCACAATATCCTGTCAGAATATCACCAGGTAACCTCAGGCTGTGTTTACTAAATGTTCAGAGATCTTCAACACATTTTAACTTTCCTTCCTTTATGGAACAAGTGTTATAAAGTAACTGCACGTTGCATCATCCTTTTTCATACTGTGTTATAACTAACTAATAACTTAAGCCTAACATGGATAGGAATGGGTATCTTTGACATTAGAATCGATTTGATTGGTATTTGTACCCAACGATACCAATTTTTGGTGCTATGTGTGTTGTTCTTTTAATAAACTTATTTTTTGTTTCTCAATACATAAAGTTTAACAAATATCAATACAACTCTTTGTATTGTAACATCAATCGTTTAACAAATTTCTTTAAAGTGAAAACTCTTGAAAACAAGACTGTTTTGTCTTATTGTCAAATTAAAATCTAGCTCCAAATAAGTTTAAATCAAATAAACAAAAGAGGATGCTGTTAAAATAAATAAAAGGTATTCAAGCTACGTTCAGATCGAACATGTTTTGAGCATCCAAAAACGCCCAATGCTTCAAGTTGGCTGCTTGTGCTCTTTCAGGTCTGATTCGTTCAGTGTGTCGGGAAGTGCTTCTGTTGTTTTCCTCTGCCGGTCTCTGTTTAATGGTGGATGAAATAAAGAAAGTGGCGGTACTTTATTTACTTTGAGCAAGCGAACGTCGTGCTCACAAGATAATTAATCCACCAGATAATTCAGAGGCGGTCTGTTCTGTGAGTTCACTTCAGGATCTGCGAGGCTCAATTTCAAGCTACGTTCAGACTGAACTCTGTTTGCTGAACCAGTAGCTGCTGACGTCATTACGCTCTTGTGCGATGCTGCGTTCAGGTGGAGCATGGAAAATCTCCCACTCTTACGCCAATATGGTCACAATGATGCGTTTAGGTACTGAAACATAGTACCTTTTTGATTTTACATGAATAGGTACTCAGTAGTACTGACAGAATTTGGTCGGTATTTATAAAAGTATCGAATTAGGTACACATCTCTAAACATTAGGGCTGCACAGTATATGCGGTACACCGTAGAAACGGTATGAAGTTGGCCTATGGTAGAAATTTATACTCTACCGTCCTATCGTCATTACGTCATCGCTTCTGTGTGAACAGGGCTGTGAGTGCAGGGACAACTGAGCTGGAGTTCAAAATATAATGAAGAAGTTGTAGTGTTTTAAAACACCTATAGAGAGAATAAATCCTCAAAATTTGTAGAAAAGTTACGTCGTGTCTCGGGATCATTTCCTCCCTCCCTCCCTCTGCACGTCGCACAGACCGAAGCTTTAACAACGGTAGTTTTTCACACCCAATTGTCGGAGAAAATAAAGTTTTTTATGTATTGTTACCCACCGAGATTATTAAAAAAAAAAGACGTGGACGTTCGTTCAGTCGTAAATCCATCTTGCTAATGTAAAGTCGGATTCTGCTCTTATGATGAAGAGCAGCTGCTAAGTTCAGCAGGCAGAAGCTCATTGTTTGGCAGGCAGATATTAAAGCAAAAATGTTGTGTTTAATTAAGATTACAGTTTTCTGAAGAAAAAAAATTACATTATCTTAACTTTTTATGATAATTTTCTACCGCGATATATACAGTTACCATAAAGGGGTTTAATTTAAACCGTGATATGAATTTGAGGTCATACCGCCTAGCCCTATTAAACATGGAGGTTTAACCAGCCCGGCTTTCGTAGCCCCTTCCAAATCTAAATACTGTCCATAACCGGGAACTGTGAAACGGGTGGACAGAGGTTTGTTCCAGGAGGACTTCAGCTCTGAGACAAAGTCTGGGAACATGGGAAGACTGTTTTTCACTGCGGTCGGCTCAGTGGGGAGAAAAAACCCGTGAACTGCGATGGTTTTTTGTGCTGGAGGGGAAGCGGGCCACTCCATCCAGTTTCTGAGCTGCACGACGACACAAGGAGAGGAAAGACGTGTCGTCCTGGTTCACCTCTGCCGCAGCGGGGGCATTTTAACCTGAGCAGGGTTCTTCGTCATCTTCCGACAGATGAACATCCAGACCAATATCCAGCACATCCTCGTCTCCCTGGTGGAGGCCCAGCTGAAACTGGGCAACATCCTCCTCTCCCTCGGCTAATAATGTAATACATGCGGTCCGCCCAGCTGGAAGCGGGGACTTTGACCGACAAATCCTCCTCGTCGGACTCGGACGGAACCGGGTTACTGGACTCGGAGAGGAGTGGGTCCTGATGTGTGACTGCAGCTTCGCTCAGCACTTTTTTTAAAAACTTAACCAGTCTCTCCGGGGTTGAGTGACGAAGCTGGAGGCAAAACGCACACGCTTCGGGCTCTGCCAACGCTCTCAGAGTGTGAACGATCCCCAGACAGGCCGGGCAAGCCTCGTGCTGGTCCTTCTCATGGAGCGAGAAGCCGTACCCCATTGGGACAGGGGCGAACAGTAGACTTCTGCTTCTTTTGAGGTAATTTTGTGCTCATCTGAACCACAAAATTTTTTATTTTGTTGAAATAAAAAGGCTACTCAAAACTAGCGCTCCGCGGGCAGTCGCGGTTATCAGTAGGCAGCAGTGGCTAACACCAACAAAAGCAGTTAAGCTAATTTTAAGAACCTTCAAAACAAGCAAAGCTAATTAGCAGCAACTGATTAGCCTGACTTGAAGAGGTGTTCCTAGCGAGGTGAAGAGCGTAAGAACTGAGGAATGTCTGTGATGACGGGCAGTATATAGTGCAGGCGAAGCCTGTCATCTGTCATCACGTCACCTGCCTAAAGGCGTGATTAGAGGTGGCTTCAGCTAGGACACGCAGGGGCGTGGCTTCCCATACTTATGTGTTGTACAGAGTGAATGGACTGAAAGGGAACCTTGGAGTCCAGGTTCTGTGACAGTACACTCACCCAATCATTCAGCGTCACACAGACTGAGAACATTTATAAAAAGTGTTTTTTTTTCTTTTTGTATGAAGTGGATGCGTTTCTGACTCAGCTGGTGCTGACCCACTTCCCTCCCCTTCATCAGTCTGGCTTTAATGTGTGCTTTTATTTTGAAACAGCATGTGATTGTGGATAAAAGGCTACATTTTTGATTTGATGACATCTATATTTATTTCTGTTTAACAGTCCATTTGTTGGAGGCGTAATAATGCTATCACCTCGTGTGTTTCTGACTCGATGCTTTTGAGTCATTCACATACTGTATTTCTGAACGTGGGTYGTGTTTGAGACTGAACATTTATTTGCTTGTGGAATGGGAAGCCTGAGTTTTTGCAGCCTACATACACTGGCCTGTTATGCTACGTTCACAGCGAACGCGTTTTGAGCAGCAAAAAAAGCGCCCAACGCCTCCAGTTGGACGCACTACGTTCATACTGGGACAGAGACTAGACGTGCGTCTGAAGAGGAAGGAGCGTCTTGGTTTTCCTCCGGTCAGTCTTCAGCGGATGAAATAAAGATAAATTAAAGAAAATGGCTTTGCTTTATTTACTAAAGAGCAAGCGAACGTTGCGCACACCAGATAATTATTTCAATAGATGATTTAGAGGCGGTTTGTTAAGTTTCATCACTCCAGGAGCTGCGAGCTGACGGACTGTTTTTCGTCCCGAGCCTAGTTTAACACCACGGTCAGTTTAATGAGCTGCTGACCCACATCAGTGCTGATATCTCCAGCCAGAAGATCCTGCAGATGGTCAATTTCAGCTAAAGAACTCCTGTCCGTCTGTTTTGGTTTAGTGGACAACATTCAGGAAACTGTCGTGGAAAAATTAGTCTCTCTGATTGGTTGTCAAGATGCGGCGAAAGATCAGATTTTTGAACTCGAGCGTCGGCTGCTTTCGCCGCACCGCATGCACGGAAAAGGCTCTGCTGCACCTTCCGCTTTCCTTGCGCACTGCTCTAAACGGACCTGACGCGCCTCAAGACCACTGGGGCGGCTGTGGCAGAGTGGTTAGGTGAGTCGTCCTGGAACCAGAAGGTCGCTGGTTCGATCCCCTGTCCAGCCGTCTCAGTCATTGTGTCCTTGGGCAAGACACTTCACCCACCTTGCCTACTGATGGTGGTCAGAGGGTCCGGTGGCGCCGATGTATGGCAGCCCCACCTCTGTCAGTGTGCCCCAGGGCAGCTGTGGCTACAGTGTAGTTTGCTACCATCAGTGTGTGAACCTGTAAAAAATGAGAACCAATAAAAATCCATCGGTTCACACTCCCTCTGAATTGGTCAAGATAATTTTAATTGATCCATCATATATAGGCAACCTGCAAGAAACACAAGTGGTTTTAATAGGACCTATACAATTTTTTTCTTTTTGATTTTTTACCTGGATTACTGAGATGCATCAGGACGTTTTAATAGGTCGTCTTCATCAGCTAGCTTGTCGTTAAAGTTTACACAGATTTGTTAGTGACAGTCATTTGTGTAAGCGTGTGTTGAAGCAGGGAAACAACTAAAACATGGACAGAAACTACC